TGTGATAAAAAGGAGAGGGGCTCATCAGTATGTAGCCATTTATGTCCATATCTACTTTAGGGATTTCTAATACATCTGTCAGTTTGGTGTCATTGCTTATCAAAGTTATCACTTTCATGCCTAAAAACTGGAAAGACTTCCAAATACCAAAACAGGTAGCTCATGTCAAGCAGAAAGCTAATCTAGGACAGTATCAATGAGCCCACTAAGGCTGAGGCAAAGTTTTCTTTCCATTCATTCAGAACTACACACAGTTCCAAAGAGGATTTCACTGCGACTGCCCAGTGAAATAAGAATAGCCCATCAGGGTTCCTCATGAGAAGATATTTTTCTTAACTACAGGGGAGCCCCCTTTTTTTAAACTTCAGTGCATTAGGGCAAAAATCTACCCTGACTCGCACCATGAGATCAATAGTGTCAACGCACAAAAATATTTGGTTCCTTAGGATGAAATCATGCCCTCTTTGATGCCAGTGGTTAAACTTCCCCTGATTTCAGTGGATACTGGATTTCAAATGAGAATTATTTTCACTATTTATTTTCTGTGCTCTAGTGATGCCAGTGGTACTCCAACAATAGCGCAATGGTAACATATCCCACCAGCATAGCAGTGTCATTACTCCTGCCAGTAGGGTTTAACCAAGCTGCACAGAATCCACTTGCTTTCACATCCCTTCACCCATAGCTGGAGCTGAGATGAACACTTTGAAGTCACAGCTAAAGGACTGTGCCAAAAATACCATTGCATTTTTTTTTTAAAAAAGGGTGGAATGGTGGGGAGCAAGAAAGATCAGGGACTAGTGAACCTATGCAATTCTCTTACCTGCTACCATTACTAACAAATAACCAGAAAAATGTCCTTAAAGCTTGCTAACAGCAGTGCTACTCTCCTCAGGCTAAAATTTGGTATATACAGCTCTACCCCAAGAAAGACTGTCATGATACAGCCACGCCAGGGATGGCTGTGATGCCCCTAGGGCACCGTGAACATGCTGGCTCCACCCTGTGGGCACCTAGTCTTGCCTGCCACATCTTGCTGGTATAAATGTGGAATCGGTAGGTTGCCCTTGGGTTGCTGCTCAGTCACAGTCCTGACAGACTCCTCTAAAACCTGTGGGTTGTTAGACTCCTTACTGGATCCCACACTCAGGAGGTGCCTTACAGTATACCCCAAGCCTTATGGGCTAGATGCATGGCTCCAACACTGCCCCATGCCTCACAGATGGTATTAAAACATTGTCCCTTTGAGGCCTTAATCTAGCTCAGCCTTCTGTTGTCACTGGGCCCTTGGCCCCTAGCTGCATGCCTTCACTTGCACCAGGGCTCTACATGGTAGTGTGCCCCAAATAAGGCCTCCTCCTCCCCTATAGCCTCAGTCAGGTCCACTGGTAGGAAAACAACAACATAAATATGAACCCCTGGGCTACAACATAATGAGTAAATAATACCAATGAATGAAGACTACACTCTGCACCCTTAAGAGGGCCAGTTTCCCCCTCAAGCAATGTATGCCTCTTATCCCCAGGTACTTTAGGAGCTCCTAGAGCCCATTAGTTTTACCAGCAGCTGGACAGGCAGCCTAGCATGTCCATAGAGCTTCTTTGCACAAACTCCTTCCCCCTTGGCTGCTGCCAAAGAACTGACCGCCTCTAGCCCCAGCCCAGGGGCTTATCTGTGACCAGAGCCCTGCCTTCTTCTGGTCAGGTGATCAAGTGCAGGTGCAAGCTAATTCCCTTATTAGCCTGCTGCCTCAGCAGCTTGCACCTGTGGGGGTTCTGTCTGGCTCCTAGGGCCCTCTCTCTAGGCAGTTTTTGCCCTTAAAGGAGCAGGCACATCTTAGAGCCCTACAACAGACTTTTTTCCCCATCTTCCAAACTTCTAAAAATATGGTATTCAGTAAAGTTAAATCCAACCTCCCCATCCCTACCTGCTATCTTGCTTTGGATCGGCACATGAACTAGTGTCTCAACATACAGGATCCCCAAAATCTGATATTACACAGTAATTAAAATGAAGTTGTACTTTGCTTTCAGTCACCAACAAGGTTTCTTCATGACAATAGACTTTATGTTCCTCTGAAGGACTATTGTTCCCATAATTCTCTGCCTCCATAGATGGTGCTATAGTAAGCAGCAACAACAAAAAACCCAACACATGACAGTTTGCAGCAAATACAGTGCTGTTTTTGATTAATGCTACATCTAGTCCTTTCTGGGAGGCTATTTTTCTTTCAGGGTAGCCCAGTTCATAACAGCAGACTCCAAAGAACCTGCTGTTAGGAAAACAAAGTATGGATGTAAGCAGGAAGCCAAATTGCATTTGTTTTGTTTTCATGGTTCAATGAAGTGTCTCTCTTTTTCATCCTTTCCATTGGCCTGATAATACAAGCAAGCAGCAAGACATGTAGCAAAGTAATCATTTGATTTCTGAGCCATCTTTTCCACTAGGGCTACTATGAATTCGAATGTTACAAGGATAATGGGAGGTTTAAGAGATTTGGGATCCTCTCTCCCTTAAAAAGCACATCAGTGCATTATTTTGCTTTTGTTGTTCATCAGCACGATGATTACCGTTTCTATGAACCATCATAAGAATGGTATTAATTTGCACTGTATTGTAGTTTGAGAGAGAGAGATTTAATATTCTAAATCTAGACCAAATGTTCTTAATACATTTGCCCCTGTAATTAGTTACTTAAAAACAGTATCATGCAGTATGTTAGATTAATACATAAATCCTACTTTCAAGGAGCCTGTTTTGCTCCCCCTGAAGTCAAGAAGAGTTTTGAAACAGACTGCAACCCAGCACTGGGCCCCATGACAATCAATAAGAATACCACGTTACAGAAAATTTGATAGATCATCTACTGTTTTTGAAAGACATTTTTAATATCAAGTCACCAGTCAGCAGCTTTTTGCTTCCACCCTCCCCCGCCACAGTTTCTGACTCAGTTTTAGTTTTTCATTTGAAGCTACAAACATGCCAATTATGGACAGCAAAAAACACACACTCATCTTTGGGGTCTGTTCACAAACAGACTCTTCTAGCACATAAATACAATGGGAGATGCCATGATTTAATATCAAGCAGGTAAGCAACATCAGGTGAAGGCAGCTAAATTTTTCAGGTTAAATACTTTTTTCCCCTTGTTCCCTTCAGAATGGTTCCTGGCATCATAAAGCTCCCCACAAAAAGCATGCCAACAACAGACCCTGACAAACTATGCAGGCTCTGAAACAGACGGATATGGCTATGTGCTGGTGTCAGAAAGAAAATGCTGTTTAAGAGCTGAGGTCAAATCATCCGTGTCATTCACATTTGTGCCCCTAACAGAGAATGATATTGTTCCATCCAACAAAATAGGTATTTTTATGCCACTTTTAGGAGCAGAACAACACAGCAGGCAAGGAAATAGCAGGGAAAAGATAACACTTAACTCCAGCAGAGTTGATGTCACTGGCTACACAGTAAGGTTCTGAAGCGAGGTCAGAAGATCATTGGGTTCCTACACTTCATTGCCCCAAGGTTTATTAGACTCCAGCGTGTTTGGTTAGGGCCAACTACAAACTCAACCAGTATACCATGTGTGACCGTATCAAGCTCTCTCATCCTCTTCTTTTTTATTGGCCTTGCATGACAAGGTCTATGTCCTACAGCAGGCTGATTTCAACAAGGTTCCCTGATTTGGTACGTCTTGCCATGTTAATTCATATTTTTCACTAAGCACTGCTCATCTGTGTCCTCATTTCCCTTTTTAAAAACTGTGTTTTCAAAAAAAATGTTTAGTTTGTCTGTAAGCAGGTCTCTGCAAAAGTCAAGGCAACCAAATCCAAGGAGGGGAAGCCTGCATTGAGGATACAGTGAGGCTATGCAGCAAAAAGGACCCATGTAAACAAGCTTACAATCACTCATGATTAATACTAAGGACCATGCCTGTTCTGATTCACTAGGAAAACAGCTCTCTTTTTAAGCAATACTATGGCATTCACTGTTGAAGAGAAATGCATATTATTTTTAATAAGGCCTCTTTGCAGGAGGAAAAAAAAAGCAACATTAACATTTTTTGTTGCATTGGCTGAGCTGCCAGAGCCATTTGAAGACTTTTCCTGTAAAGCCAGATTGATTTCACTGCAGTCCCAAAGAAATTGTTAAATTCTCTGCTGCAAAATAATTGTTCGGTTATGTGCTAGAAACAGTTTTCCTAAGGGATCATGCTGATTCCATAAAATATAGCAGTTTTGTGTTCAGTTCCATCTGGGAGTCATGTACTAGAGAATGCCTACCTTAAGAGACCACTTCTTTAAGGAGACCTCTTTAGTCTGCCTATAATTTCTACCACCACCTTCCTTCCACGTACATCCCAACACCACAATATTCTAAAGAGTTTTTTCTCCTCCTTCTTTCAGCCTCTTCTACATCCCATACCTCTGCAAGAGGCCAATGATTTTAGCTTCTGGGTTGTAAACTTGTTTATTAATATCCATTATTTAAAAAAATATATTCACTATGTATTTTATATAGCTTTATACAGGCAGACACCCAAAACAAATATATGCTTTGCCAAATTAAAAATCAAGATGCATCTCCCTTTAAAAAAAAAAGAAAAAAGAGCCACAGCAGTTTCAGAGGTGATGGAGCCGAGTATAGCACTACTGTTTACATGCACCAGCTGTTAAAACGCTATCGTTGCTGTCCGCGCTGCTTTACCTCTGCACTGCTCTTAAAAAAAATTTAAAAAAAATTAAAAAACAAAAACAAAACAAAACAAAAAACACACACGCTACCAATCACCTAAAGAGCCCAAACACAAATGCTCACATGCACAAGAATACAGGAAAATAATGGTCATCCAGCCATAAACTGCCTTCTTGCCTCTGTTAGCAGTTTACTTCATTTACCTGGCTCTCTTCCCCTCAGTTTTTTAAAAACAGCAAATCAATATTCATCACCCCACCCTGCAAAGGCAGGTTAGTCGCAAAATATTAGCATCAACCACCTACCATTCCGTGCCTGCGAACTAGTCTCCTTGTCCAGCCACCTTTCCCCCCAAACTGCAACCTTATGTGGTATTTTGTAACCACGTTCCAAACTGCAAAGAAGAAGAGACGGGTATTAAAAGAAATAAAATAAATGATGGGCAGGTGAATTCAAGGCAAGCCAACGTAAAAGAAAAAAATGTATGAAATAAAAGTTCATGGGGAGGGGGGATAAACGCAGAGGGGAGCAAAGCAGGCAAAATATATGATAATAATGAAATAAAGGAGAAGAAGAAAGAGTGGCTTGCTGAATCACCTTCTTTCACTGCCTGGAAACCATTGTGCAGCGTGATGCTGGCTGTACCATTGTGGAACCTACCAGAGGAGACAGGCAGAGGGCTTGGGGAATGGGGCTGCTATGGCAACTGAAAGGAACCCACATGACGTCAAAGCACATAGAGGTCCCAGAGGGGGGTTGGGAGGAGTGGAGAGAAGAGAAAAGTCTAATCTGCAGCTCCAGCTATTATATCTCCCAGTGAATCAGGGAATAGATCAGACTGCAAAGGGAAACTGAATAGCCTTCTGTAGCAGTCACCCCAGCAGCAGCACTGGTATCTGCAATAGCAGGGAGCTAATTCATACAAAGAATAGGTAATAATCAAAAGGAATCATCCGATTCCTGGCAGTTATGACCACTCCTTTGTACTGCCTGCTGAACACACACAGAGATAAAAGCAGACAGCCCTGAAAGCCACAATCAGCTGGGGTTCATTCAAGCTCTCGTCTCAATGAACGCAAACAACGAGGAGTTACTTTCCTTCCTTACGTAATTCCTTATGCTGTTCAGGACAAGTACAGGCCAGCACGACTGCTCAGCGAACAGAGCCCCATGGAAACTCAGGGGAAGAGGACTGTGCATTTGCTCTTCATTACCAGAATTCTCTGCTGATGATCCCAGGATTGATAACCTAGCAGCTCAAGAAAGCCAGGTGGTAGAGAGACGCTACTGCAATTTGACTTCATAGAGATCCTTAGGGTTTTTGGAGCTGCCTGCTTTGGGGGTTATACAGAACCAAGACCATTAACATTTAAAATAATAAATAGCTCACATCTTTCAGCAAGCAATTTTTGATTCTTATAAGCAGCAAAAGAAAAGGTGATCTTATGAAAACTGCACAAGTCTTGACTTCAGGAAGCCTTACTTCCATTTAGGGACTATAGCCAGTCTGAACAATTCCAAAAATCCTTATGTCAGCACACTAAGCCTGGAATGTTCTGTTTAAAATTGCCAAACTTCCGTCAAATCTGTAGCAAGGATCTGAGAAGACCTTGCCTAGATTCCTGGCAGATCTACCCTCGGATTGGGGACACTGGAAGTTCCCTGAAGATGCTCAGTTTAATTGAAGTTTGTATCAGTTTTCCTGCTAATAGCAGCAGTGAAGTTGAAAAGAATGTCCATTTCAGAAAGCAGCTTGCCAGTCCATGGAGCTTCTGGTTCACCAGACATGTTATTTTAA